AGTCTTGATAAAGTGGAACTGTCAAGGAAGCTGGCCGCTTTAACTCCCGGATTTTCGGGTATGACGTATTTCTATCCCACTGCTCGTCCAGGTATTGATGGCATAAATTTTGTCAAGACATTGTGAAATGTTATTTCAGGAGCTGATGTTGCGAATGTTTGTAACGAAGCGGCTTTGGTAGCAGCACGTGACGCCGGAACAGAAATAGTCATGAAAAATTTTGAACAGGTACTTAGTTCCTTGTTGCAGTCTAGCATTTTGTTATTCCCCGAATGCCAGCAGTGAAATCGAACATACATTCACCCACCAATACAAACATACATTACCTATAGTGTGTACACATACACACACACACCCACACACACACACATATGCACATACGTATGTTTAGGCACACATAAATACACATACAGACAGACAGACAGTTCGTCATGGTTCAAAGTGTATCTTTTGTTCTTTTGTTGCGAGATTGTGTTAAAACCAATGTTAGGGTTGTTTTGAACTGTTGAATGATTGCTGCATTATTTACTTGGGTACTTAAATTGGCTGTTATATTGTAACCTTCATGCCGTTCGATGCGGTTGCCAAATTTTTGATAATTTTTTAAATTTTGGCTCATCCTGTGTTGGTCTGATGTACGGATTACAAACGTGTCCTCCGCAAGTTGCGGCGAAGTCGGGGTGAATGGAGGGGAGGGGGGTGATGAGCCTTAAAGTAAAAAAGTAATAGTTTATTAAAGTTTATAAACTGGAATACGTTTTAATCAACTTTTCTTTGTCGTATGCTTTCTCATTGTTGACAGCTTCTCGATTTTGCTTTATGAGCAGCACTGCTTTCTGATTCCTTTTTTTTTTTTTGACTCATCGACGTAATTCTGTAATCATTCCATCTCACTATCGGCTTCCTAATTGCCGTTTACTAGATCATAAGTGCCACTTACTAATGCGCTTTGTCTATATGCGCTCTCACCCGCCGCATGACTAGCCGAGTTGCTGGGCCAGAAATTTCTGGATATACAATCTACGGTCCTTAATGCACCTAGTTACTAACTGAACTGGAACTAGGCAACAAAAAGCAAAATAGTTTAACTTCACCAATGTACGAAGCGTCTTTTCTAGACCAACATAACAAAATCAAGTATAAAATGCTAGCTTTGAGGAGCAACAGCGCCGCGTCACTTGGCAGCGCTTTCGGATTCCTTGTTTTTTTTTTTCTTGGTATGGGGATACAAGAAAAAGGAGATTGATCGGTACATCTTAGTGAAATTTCAAAAAGAAACGCATGAAAGTGTGACTGCGCTGTTTTCGCTGCTTGCAGACTTCATATATTTCTCTACTTTGTTGCATTTTATGGGGGAAATGTCTAATTCAGCATCGTTTACAGTTCATATGCAAGGAGTTTACTTCTAGGCCATCGAACGAGTGGTTGCTGGAATGGAAAAGAAAAGCCAGGTGCTGCAGCCAGACGAAAAAAAGATTGTGGCTTATCACGAAGCGGGCCATGCGGTGGCCGGATGGTTCCTGCAACATGCAGATCCCCTGTTGAAAGTGGGTCATTTCTAGTTATAATGATGTTAACCGATCCACCAATATGGCTTTGGCTGTTGCGTCTCGTGGCTTTTGATATGCTGAAAAGTAATGCGATGAAAATTGCTTCAAATCGAATTTGTCAAAAAAAAAAAAGCAAATACAGTTCCGTAGCAGAGACCAGCACGACCATGCGCATTTGCGAAAAATTGTCACAGAGAAGCGCGCTCGTAATGCATTGCATTTGCGCATAATCATAATACCTAGGCATAAGTCATAGTGCGTCTACGCTTCTGATAACGTGATGCAGTGATTTGTATTTTGCATATAAATAATTGGCCAACGTATGGGCTGCCCGTGCGAAGATGCGTTTTTTGCATGGTTCCCCGCAGTTTTTGTTGCTTCCGGCACCGGTTTTTTCGGCAAATGCTTCTAGCTAAACAAAATGAGACTGGCCGCCAGAACTGTCAGGAAACATCTCCTTAAAATTTCAGCTTTCTAGCGTCCGTGGCCCCTGAGTTAGCAACTTACTGGGACAAAATTTTCACGGGCCCGTGCATGTTTACCAAGCATGCCTGAGAGCTGGGTTCGAGCTGATTGAAACTTAGGTGGACGGGGTATATCTTCTTAGAATTACATTCCTTTAGCTTCTCAGGTAATTGAGTTATCAATTTACCCGAAAAAAAACTTTGACGGGCTCGTACGCGGGTATCACGCTTACCCGGGCGCTGGGCTTGAGCCCACTAATACCCGGTTGGGCGGGGAACATTATCCCAAGATTTCAGCGTTCTAGCTTCTCAGATCCTCGAGTTATGAGCTGACCCAAAAAAACTTTGGCGGACCCGTACGCGGTACCACGCGGGTTTGGACGCCCATTTTAGGGATTGGGGCGGTACGTGCATGTAGATTAAGTTCCCGAAATTTCAGCCCCGCAGCTTTTATAGGTCCTGAAATGAAAGTGCGTGACAGACGCACACACAGACACACAGACGCACAGACACACGGACACACAGACAACCTCTCGTCATTATGCGTTTTTCGCATTGCATTGCTGCAAAAAACGCATAAAAACAGATTTTACATTCCTCGCCTCATACTTTTCATGAACTTACATTGAATATTTCAGCATTTTGATCGGCTGTTGTTTCATTATTGTGCTCCTTTGCAAAATTGTTGCATTCATTCTTTTCTGTCTTTGTCCTCCCTTTTCCACACACTTCTTACGGGCTTTCAGGCGACTCCTTCCACT